CACAAAACTGAAATATGTTTTATGCCATATTTTTCTTTTATGAACAACAATTTGAAATGTCAAACATGAATTGAAATGCAACACTCAGGCCTAAGACTTGAAAATGGCAATTCTTTCTTTAAAGAAATGCTCAAATGACATCCCATAATGCCTTTTAGCGCCTGTGAGTGCAATTCTTTAGCTCAGCATCTGCAACCAATTTTTGTTTTTGCTAGTTTTGGTTAGCTGTGGTGGTCCTCTTGAACTGGATTGACTCCAATTGGCAACGTTTCAAAAACAGATCTTGCTTTATCTGTGAGCATTCAGAAAATGTATTTTAAAGGCCTCAGTTCACTTAGATTTACTGGTCTGTCTACATTCCAACCCTCACCTATATTTATGAGGCATGGACCATGATGGAAAGAACGAGATTCCGAATATAAGCGGCTGAAATGAGCTTCCTTAGAATAGGGTGAGGAGCTCCAACATCCATGGGAAGCTCGGAGTAGAGCCGCTGCTCCTCCACATCGAAAGGAGTCAGTTGAGGTGGTTCATCTGATTAGGAAGCCTCCTGGACGCCTCCCTTTAGAGGTGTTCCAGGCACGTCCCAGAAGAAGAAGATGGAGATGGAGGCCTCAGTTAATACCACCTCAATTTTAGACTAAATATATGTAAAACTGATATAGTTGTTGTTATTTCAGTGTTTGCTAATGTGGCTCACCTACGGCAATCATCTTCAATGGGATTAACTCCAAAAGTAATCAGTTGCAGATGTGCAATCAATGATTACTTTCTGAAAGTTGCATTAAAATCCATCCCCTGCTTCATGAGATATTTTGTAAATGGTACAGACAAACACACACACACACACACACACACACACACACACACACACACACACACNCACACACACACACACACACACACACACACACACACACACACACACACACACACACACACACACACATTTTTACTCTGCTTACCTTGATTACAGCAGTGGGCAATAGTTCATAAAAACATTTCAGGTTGTATTTAAAGCTTAATAACACCAAATATAACAAAATGATCAAGACACACAACCAACAATGAGAAGTGATTCAGACATTTGGGTGCCTGTATTTTTATTTATTTATTTATTTATTTTTTTGAGGTGCAACATTAAGGTTCGGATTTATCCACAAACCAAGTTTAAAATATGTCTGACTCTCATAACCATGTCAATTAAGTATGTGCTAGAATAAAAAATTATTTTAATTTGTATCTATAAATATTTGCTCAAATATTAGCACATTAGCAAGTTAGTGGGCTAATATTTGAGCTCTAAATACTGGATGGCATCTTTGACATGATGTAAACAACGCATCTGCCTCCATAAAAACCTGTCTTTCATTATTTATGCTGGATTTCCAACATGTTAAAATATTATAGTTGCTTATTTCCCTAAATACTTTAGAATCTATTACTTCTACACCTGTTTCAAAGCTGTTTGAAATTTTCAATTAATTTGAGCCTAACACCAGAACCCTCCGGACTCAGCTGTGCTGTTGTCATGTAGCCATCAGACAATGATGCTGAATAATGTTTCTCTTTTCTTCACCAAGATTTCTGTCTCTCTCCTCCTCCTGTCCCCTGGTTGTTGTAATGTATGCTGATTGCAGAGTCTACAGAGAGCAAATCAACAGCCTCTGATAAGCACAGCATTGTAATCCATGCCAAGAAGGAAAAAAAGAGAGAAGAATGATAACTTCCAAATGCCAGTTGTGGATGCAGCCTGTACACGGACAGATAAACTGCTGGTGGGGATGTTTTCAGGAGGATGTGGAGTGAAGAAAAGGGAAGACAGTTCAGGCGGGCTTAACGTAAATTAGTGTAATTACTTATAACTACTTAGGCTAGTTCAACACCCCGCTGTGTTGAACAGCACTGTCTTTACAGGAATTAAACTGATTAAACCCAATGCATGAATAACAAACAGTTGTTCCTGTCAGACGTGCAGCATAGTTTTAGGCGGGGAAATGAGCTACAGTGAGGATTTCTTTTCTTCCTGCTACAGCTGTGAAGTGATGGGAAACTGAATTTTACTTTCAGGTGAAATGACTGGACTAAAACATTGTTTCTTAAAGGTAATCAATCTTCAATTTAAACACTGTACGTCTGTTCCAATCAGCATTTCAGAACGCCAAGATTTTTTTTTCACGTGGTATCTGAAAACAATCTGTAAATGCTTTTCTTACTGTTTTCTTTCTTTGTTTTTATTCAGACAGCAGAATCAGCTGATGGAAAAATTTCAGTTGAATATTTGAAAGTGTGTGACTGACATCTAGTGGTCGACATGGATCAAAGCATAAAACAAAACATTGTTTTGTTATAAAGCAGAACTGTGCATGTGTATGTGCATGTAACATAACTGTGCATTTATCAGACATATTTTGTGAATCACTGGATGTATTTGAACAAACCCTAAAAAGATGGCCACCCAAACTAAACAATAGTATTTTATACAGAAATGTCTTACTCTTTTACAGATATTGAGCTAAAGATTAGTGTGGTAGTAGCTGAGAGTCCCGCTCAACACAGACTTTTGATGTTTTTTACGATCTGTTTGGTGTCAATGCTGTCTGTTAGCAAAATATCTCATGAACCATAGGAAATATTTTAGTGTCCTGATGCATCTCAGTAACCCTGGTAGAAAAAAAAAAGTTTTTCCTCTGGACAGGATCTTTAGTAAAACGTTTCGTCTCTTCTCCAAGAGACTTCTTCAGTCTGAGGAGTTTCAGGTAAACTCAGCCTTATAAGCACTGCCTCCACATGGTGGACAAACAGGTTTAACGATGACAATCAACACATGCAATGGAGGACCCTCAACCAAACTATAGATCGTTTGTGCCCTGATCACCACCTGTTGTTTATAGAGGGTCATGTGCTCCATCACCTGACTATTGTTGGGGCTCTGATTATCCCTTTTGCTCACAGGAGGCTGAGTCATATTTGCAATAATAGCATTTTAGGAGGAGGACAACTGGACACGAAGGCCTCCACCTCTGTTTAATGATGGACGGTTTTTCTTCACAAAGATGGCTTCCTTTACTCCTCTCTCAAACAAATGTTCCTCTCTATCAAGGATGAGAACATCTTCATCCTTGAAGAGTGACCGCTGGCCTGTAGATGAGTGTAAATTACAGAATACTGGCCTGTAGATGAGTGTAAACTAGAATCCTGGCCTGTAGATGAGTGTGAACTGCAGAATCCTGGCCTGTAGATGAGTGTAAACTGCAGAATCCTGGCCTGTAGATGAGTGTAAACTGCAGAATCATGGCCTGTAGATGAGTGTAAACTGCAGTATCCTGGCCTGATTATGTTGTTCTTCTGTGTTGGACCATTCATTTGAATAGTGGCTGCTTTGTTTCCTCAATGTATAACTTGTCACAGTCCTCCTGGCACTTAACAGCATATACAACATTACTCTGTATGTGCCAGGGAACTGAATCACTGATCTGGTCACCCTGAAACTCCTCAGACTGAAAAAGTCTCTTGGAGGAAAGACTAAAAAAACTCGTCGAGAGGACCTACTCATTATTATTTTTAAAATATATGTTAGTAAAACTCTGTTTTGTTATTTTTATTGAATGGACACGTACAGCTGAATGAGGTTTGGAGTCAACTATTTCCCAACTAATCAACCTTAGCCCAGACAAGAAGGGGTTAAAACTCAATTTTGTAGATAACATTATATTCTGAGCTACTGATATCTTGCAAAGTTGCATTTCTCAGGCCAAGATAATCAAATAGATACAAGTTGATATTTAAAACACGTTTTCGGTTTGGGAGGGTTGAAATTGTGTCTGCTTTAAGAGAAAGTCCAGTAGTTCCAGTGATAAGAACGTGGATCATCTCCTGCAGCAGAGGTGGAGGCAGTAACTTGACCTTGGCTCCTAATGGCTGCGCGACAGTAGCGCCCCAACCCACTGGCCTGTCTGCCCCCTGTGCTGTGTCTATTTATAATGTCCAGACACAGTGCAGAGGTTATTCAGAGGTGGCAGGGAGCAAAAGGCAACAGAAGAACAAAGGGTGAGAATGTTTGTTGTTATCACACCAGCTGTTTGACTTAAACTGTTGTTAACTTGTTAGGAAAATCCCATTATTATTCCTAATCATGGATTTCAGATTTACATGTTTACACAAGACTGGGACCCTTTTTGACTTTCCTGTTCTGAACTTTATCACTTTTATCACAGTTTTTTATTTGCTGGGTACTTATATAACACATTTGTTCTTCAGTCTGACAGTGGGTTTTGTTTGAATTCGTCTGAATTGTTTGATTCCAGAAGTCTCAATGGTAAGTGTTGTTATTTCAATGGTATTTATTGCCATTGCAAACTACCAAATTTCACAAAAAATGTTATCCTGACCTATATAAAATTGTGCAGTTTAATTATATATTATATATGTATCAATATGAAATTCTGAAATGTGGGTCCACACTCAATATAAAGAAAGCCTATAGTATGGGGTGCCGTTTGCAAAGTTACACAGTGAAAAATTACCACCAATATTTTTGTTTTATTTAGCCTTTTATAAGAAAAA